CTCCACATAATAAAGACTATATATGACAAACCCACAGCCAACATCATTCTCAATGGTGAAAAACTGAAACCATTTCCACTAAGATCAGGAACAAGACAAGGTTGCCCACTCTCACCATTATTATTCAACATAGTTTTGGAAGTTTTAGCCATAGCAATCAGAGAAGAAAAAGAAATAAAAGGAATCCAAATTGGAAAAGAAGGAATAAAACTGTCACTGTTTGCAGATGACATGATACTATACATAGAGAATCCGAAAGATGCTACCAGAAAACTACTAGAGCTAATCAATGAATTTGGTAAAGTAGCAGGATACAAAATTAATGCACAGAAATCTCTGGCATTCTTATACACTAATGATGAAAAATCTGAAAGAGAAATTAAGGAAACACTCCCATGTACCATTTCAGCAAAAATAATAAAATACCTAGAAATCAACCTACCTAAGGGGTCAAAAGACCTGTATGCAGAAAACTATAAGACACTGATGAAAGAAATTAAAGATGACACAAACAGATGGAGAGATATACCATGTTCTTGGATTGGAAGAATCAACATTGTGAAAATGACTCTACTACCCAAAGCAATCTACAGATTCAATGCAATCCCTACCAAACTACCAATGGCATTTTTCACAGAACTAGAACAAAGAATTTCACAATTTGTATGGAAACACAAAAGACTCCAAGTAGCAAAAGCAATCTTAAGAAAGAAAAATGGAGCTAGAGGAATCAGGCTCCCCAACTACAGACTATACTACAAAGCTACAGTAATCAAGACAATATGGTACTGGCACAAAAACAGAAATATAGATCAATGAAACAGGATAGAAAGCCCAGAGATAAACCCATGCACATATGGTCTCCTTATTTTGATAAAGGAGGCAAGAATATACAATAGAGAAAAGAGAGCCTCTTCAATAAATGGTGCTGGGAAAACTGCACAGGTACATGTAAAAGAATGAAATTAGAACACTCCCTAATACCATACACAAAAATAAACTCAAAATGGATTAAAGACCTAAATGTAAGGCCAGGCACTATAAAACTCTTAGAGAAAAACATAGGCAGAACACTCTATGACATAAATCACAGCAGGACCCTTTCTGACCCACCTCCTAGAGAAATGGAAATAAAAAAAATAAATAAAGAAATGGGACCTAATGAAACTTAAAATCTTTTGCACAGCAAAGGGAACCATAAACAAGACAAAAAGACAACACTCAGAATGGGAGAATGTATTTGCAAATGAAGCAACTGAAAAAGAATTAATCTCCAAAATATGCAAGCAGCTCATGCAGCTCAATATCAAAAAAACAAACAACCCAATCCCAAAATGGGCAGAAGATCTAAATAGACATTTCTCCAAAGAAGATATACAGATTGCCAACAAACACATGAAAAGATGCTCAACATCACTAATCATTAGACAAATGCAAATCAAAACTACAATGAGGTATCACCTCACACGGGTCAGAATGGCCATGATCAAAAAATCTAGAAACAACAAATGCTGGAGAGGGTGTGGAGAAAATAGAACCCTCTTGCACTGTTGGTGGGAATGTAAATTGATATAGCCACTATGGACAACAGTATGGAGGTTCCTTAAAAAACTAAAAATAGAACTACCATACGACCCAGCAATCCCACTACTGGGCATATACCCTGAGAAAACCATAATTCTAAAAGAGACATGTACCACAATATTCATTGCAGCATTATTTACAATAGCCAGGACATGGAAGCCACCTAAGTGTCCATCAACAGATGAATGGATAAAGAAGATGTGGCACATATATACAATGGAATATTACTCAGCCATAAAAAGAAATGAAATTGAGTTATTTGTAGTGAGGTGGATGGACCTAGAGTCTGTCATACAGAATGAAGTAAGTCAGAGAAAAACAAATACCATATGCTAACACATATATATGGAATCTAAAAAAAAAAAACCAATAGTTCTGAAGAACCTAGGGGCAGGACAGGAATAAAGAAGCAGAAGTAGAGAATGGACTTGAGGATACGGGGAGGGGGAAGGGTAAGCTGGGATGAAGTGAGAGAGTGGCATGGACATATATACACTACCAAATGTAAAATAGCTAGCTAGTGGGAAGCAGCTGCATAGCACAGGGAGATCAGCTCGGTGCTTTGAAACCACCTAGGGAGTGGGATAGCGAGGGTAGGAGGGAGATGCAAGGGGGAGGGGATATGGGGATATATGTATATGTAGAGCTGATTCACTTTGTTATACAGCAGCAAATAATACAACAATGTAAAGCAATTATACTCCAATAAAGACGTTAAAAAAAATGAAGAAAATATTAGGAAATAAAAGTAGTCTGGGGCTTCTCTGGTGCCTCAGTGGTTGAGAGTCCGCCTGCTGATGCAGGGGACATGGGTTCGTGCCCCGGTCCGGGAAGATTCCACATGCTGCAGAGCGGCTAGGCCCATGAGCCATGGCCGCTGAGCCTGCACATCCGGAGCCTGTGCTCCGCAACGGGCGAGGCCACAATAGTGAGAGGCCTGCGTACCGCAAAAAAAAAAAAAAAGTAGTCTACATTGGGATTTTAAATTTTTAAAAATGATCAACACAACGGTCCTGAAGCAATGGATGGCTTAATGGGGAGGGAAATAGAAGTAATGCTAAGCTACACACAAAAACCCACATAATAGAGTCTAATTTATTTAAAATACTGAAAACTGTATGAATACATACATCTGTCAATGTGAGTACACACAACCTAGGGGCAGTTGGCTAACATCTAGTCTATCCTCATCAAGAATCCACACCTCTGGGCTGGCTGTCACTTAGCATTTGACAGATCCTAATCAGAGATCCACACTCCAAAGGCAGCTACTACAGGCTTTGAGCTCACACTATCTCAAGCTGCACTAGAAGGTTTGTTAATTAGCAAAGTGATCCTACAAAGAGGTTTTGTGATATTAGTGGTATTCAAGACATGCAGTTTGGTTAAAATATAGTATATCTCTTGGTCATTAAATGAACAAGAGTGTAGCATCTGGCTAGTCCAGCAGCTTATACCCTTCATAGTTCCAGGATGCCAGTTCTGTTGTGTGTATCAACACCTTTTCTGTGGACAGTCAGATGAATCCTTTCACTAGAGTACTGTGCCCACAGTGCCTGAGGGACAGAGAGCTGGGACGTCACAAGCCTAAAGCACAAGTTGGATGATGTTTTTTATCCCAGCTTGTTATTAATTGAACATGGCACAGAATTCAATTATTTGTTCAACACAATGTTTATTGAACCTCCACTATGTGCCAGGCAATATTCTGGACACTTGGAATATAACCACAAACAAAATAAGGATGTGACAAAGATTTTGACCAGAGACCTGCTGTACTGTAACATACCTCCTCATGTCAAGAGCATGTGGGAGGATACTTACAGCCCTTACCTACCGCTAATCATCAAGGTTACCAATTTTTCCCTATAGGTGCCCTTTAGCCACAAATGGTCCAATTAACTTAAGCTGGTTCACAACAAGCCACCATGAAAAATTACTGACATGTGGGACTCATTCATACTGAGATGGACAGGGCTTTATCTTCTCTTAGATGCCTAGATAGCTCTGGGCCTGTGAGAGAATAGAAGCTATCTGCCCCTACCTCCTGCAAAAAGATCATGTACGTTGCCTGGACCACCCACTGCAAACTCTGAAAATTGGCCTTTCCTTCTGGGTTCTTTGTCTCCATGTAGGCAGCCATGAATAGAGGGGGAAGATGTTATGGCACCTTTTCCAAATGTCAGACTCACACAAAATACTAATGTCTTGAGTAGGTCCACACAAAAACCTCGCAGCTAAAACTCAGCGAGGCCCTTTGTCAGAAGTAGGTTATATAGTCATAATGGTATCAGAATTCTGAGATTCTGCCCCAGGGCTTCCTTCAGCATTAGCACTTTTCTCCCTGTGCTTCTATCCATTTTCTGTGAAATTATTCTATTTTGTCTTCATTTTTAGCCTCTATTTCAGCTTTCCTTTATTCTGGGTCAAAACTTTCCTCCAGAGCTTTCTTTTGCAGCCTTCAACACACTGCCCTACAAACCTTCAGCATTCAACCATGTCTGCAAAGTCTCTATTGCTGTAACTCTGACCCCTTTTATTTCTAACTACATTGGATGACAAGTGCTGCTTCCTATTGAGCCATCTGGTAAACGGTTTACATGCTCTAAAGCACAAATGAGGCAGCCATGGAGGAAAGGGTCAAACTTCAGCTGTACACAGTGGTGGATGGGAGTAGATTGAGGGAAGGATGGGAAGACCCTCTATTAAAAAGCAAGTATCATGGTAATCAAGATTTTGGCTCTAGACTACCCAGTCCTTACAAAGGGAGAGACAAAGCAAGAGCCAGTGGACTCAGCAATACCATAAAAGATGAAAGTAAGGGGTAGGCAGGGAAGAAGCCATGAAAGAATAAACTTGTTTATTAAAACTTGCCTATTAAAGGAGACCTACCAATTTCCAGTCATTATTAAAGAGGAGCCAATGGCTGGCCCACTAGAATAAAGAGTCTACAGCCTAAAGGGCTCACAGGGTTCATCTAGTCTAATACCCCACAATTGAAAAGAGAGAAATAAAGCCCGGAGCACCACCTTGCCCAAGATTTAGCAAATAAAAATATAGAACAACTGGTTATATTGGAATTTCAGGTAAACAACAAGCAATTTTTTAGTATAAGTATGTCCCAAGTATTTCATGGGACACACTTATACTAAAAATGTTCTATCTTGTAGTTTATATATTTTATATGTCAATCCTACCTCACTCTACAAAGGCTACTTGGTCAGTTAGTGACAGACCCAGAACAAGAATCCTGCCTTCTGTCTTTTGGGAGGACAGGAATGACTGAGAGTGTTCCAGGAGTCCATCACACACCTGAGAGGTCACTGCTAATATGTCACCTCTGCTTAGAGGTCCTTGAATGGTCCTAAGTAAATTAACCTTTGAAAAAGACAAATTCCATTAAACGTGCTGTTTACCTTTTTAACCTTGACATATCCAGTATTGGTTTCGGGATCTGTTTCAATCTCCAAACGTCCCTCACTGTCTCCCTGCGCAATTCGGTACAGGATTTTAGAACTTCCCGTATACGGTTCATCAGCATCGGTGGCCTGGATGGTTAAGATGACAGTTCCAATGGCTGTATCTTCAGGGAGAGTTAGGTTTCCATACTAAGAAGGAAACAGGGGAAGGAAACAATGAGAATGTCCATTGTCATCGAGTACAATTGTCAAAGGGCAAACTTGTCTCCTTGGTTTCAGAATGGACACAAGTCACAGTTTGCATCAATACTTACCAAGCATGTTTTTTTCTATTAATAAGTGGGTTACAGTTGATTTTGACATCAGTCATACTTGTAGACTGATATCCATTGTACCAGGAAACACAACGTCTCAGAGATCTACTGATAGGATTCTAAAACATATCCCTCCACTCACATCCAATATGTTTAATAACTGTAATTATCATTATAGTTGAGACAAATAGATAGCTACTATGTATTGCGTACCTACAATGTGGCAGGCACTTTACATTATTTTAATTAATTCTTAAGTCAATCAGGGAATAGTGGTGAAGAGCCTAAACTTCAAAGTTAAATGGCCTAGGTATGAATCCTAGGCTTGTCACTTATGACCTGGGTGAACTGAAATAAGTTACCTAATTTTTTAAAGTCTCAGGTTCATCATCTGTCCTTGGAGATGATGATGATAATAATAATAATAACAGAACCTACTTCATGTGTGCTGTGGTGATTTACAGAGACGATGCATATAAAACCCCATATCGAGCACATAAGTGCTCGATAAAGATAAGCACCAAAACAAAGCACCCGGGCTTCCCTGGTGGCGCAGCGGTTGAGAGTCCGCCTGCCGATGCAGGGGACACGGGTTCGTGTCCCAGTCCGGAAAGATCCCACATGCCGCGGAGTGGCTGGGCCCGTGAGCCATCGCCGCTGAACCTGCGCGTCCGGAGCCTGTGCTCCGCAACGGGAGAGGCCACAGCAGTGAGAGGCCCGCGTACCGCAAAAAAAAAAAAAAACAAAGCACCCTACTGAGTAGCTATATTATCATCTCCATTTGACAGAGGAGCAAAAGACTGGAGAGGTAAAACCCACCCAAGACCACACAGCTAGCTGGTCACAGAATTGGGATTCAAACCAATGTTTGTCCACCTCCAAAGCAGGTTCTCTTAATTAACACTGACCTATACCATCTTCCACTCCTCCGCTGAAAATCCCCCAGATCAAGTCTCTTGGCATGATGATCATGAAGATGGTAACAGGCAGGGTCCGGGAAAGGACCACGGCAATGAAAGAAGTGGGCTCACCTTTCTAAGGCCCAGTTTGCCTTTCCAAGCTCTGAGATACCCAAAGCAGGACTCTTACCCTCAATCTAAAAACACTGTCTAGATGTAATGCAAGGAAACTACAACACACAGAAAGGATCAAATGCCCAAGAGAATGGAGGCAGAGTAGAAACAGGCTCTTACTCTCACACTTGCTTAACCTCAGTGCCTACTATACAAGTTATATTGTCACACTTTTTACCTCCTCAAACTCTCCCATAAATCAATTCCCATTCTTTGTCACTGCCTTATCCCTATTGTGATTTATAAACATCATCACAAGGCTCTGGGCCAACTCATAAACTGACTTCAAACATAACAATCTAGCCAAAAAGGCTTCTCTCTTCTCCAGAATAAATAATAGAGGCATCCATTTTAAGGGAAGCATCGATCAAACTACCCCCACATTAATAATAAGTTAACTTGAATTCTTCTTGATATATTCAACTGATCATTTTTCTCTTGCTCTTTTTTCCAAAATCTAATTCTTGCATATGTCTTGGGCACATTTTTTGGCATAAACCAGAGATTAGTTTTTTCTTCCCCTTTTCTCTTATCCAATAATTACAAAATGAGTTTAAATTGCCAATATTCAAAATTTTAAATTCTGACTACACATGCTTGTTTGAGACCTAGCAGTAACCTATTTATTGTCCTGCTACACACAAAATATATAATGACAAACTGCAAGCAGCCACTCAACTCCTTTCAATTGGACAAAGATTGTGGTTGTAGCTTCCAAGCAGTCCTTGAAATAAATGAGCTGTTGGCAAAAGTTTTTAATAAAAAAACCAGATGCTTCCAGATACTATAACAGTGAATGTTACTGTTCCCTGAAGATTTCCACTGAAGATGATGTTTGAGTTTGGTACCAGTGCATTGACTAAGATATTAAGTCTGGCATTTTCCCTAACTACTGTTTGTGTCTTTATTCCAGAAGTAGGGGTCAGGTAAATATGAACAAAGTAAAGAAAAAGCAAGGTGATAACTACTCACATCTGATTTTTCAAAGATGGGGATCTGATCATTGATATCAATAATGTTGATCTGCACAAAGCAGAGGGTCTTGAAATCTGAAAATCAAAGTCATATCACAGAAATTTTCACTGAAAATCATGCATTAAAATCAGAAATCTGCAAGAAAAACAGTTGGCAAGTAAAGTGACGGCCATAGCCACAATTGTACTATTGACATGCACTTTGTGTGGTGAGGGGATTCTCTGCTCCCCACCTGCACCCATGAGCAGGTCACCAAGGGCTGAAGAAAACCCCACGAGAGGCTCCCCTGGGCTTCCCACTCCCTCTACCTGCCCCCTCCTCAGTAAGGCTTGTCCCCAAGCAAGATCTTTCTTTTCTGTGAAGCAGCTTCTCTTTTCTGGCTAGTGAAACTTATGTAGCCTTCAAAGCCCAGTACAAAACTATCCTTCTAGAAAGACTTCTTTGAGCATCCCAGAGGGTTGTCTTTCCTACTCTGAACACTTCCAGCACTTACTGTCCTGTATCCCTTCTGCCCCCCCTAAAGGGAAGGCCCAAGTGAGGGAGGAAAGGTACAATTAGCCCCCTTCAAAAGGCCTGGCTGCCCAGCCTACAGAGGCAGGGGTAGCTCATAGAACTCTGGGAGATGGCATAGGCTTTGAGGGGTGGGTTTGACAATTCAGAGACCTAGTCAGAGACAGCAGGTTCAACCTAAGTCCAAGATGAGCATGGAGTACAGGTGGGGATGGGATCCCCAGGGAAATATCCACAGTGAGAACCAACATGATAGGTTTATGGTTGGGGTTTCCATTGTTCTAGCTATGAAGCAGGGTATTATACAAGGGCTAAGACTCTGGGCTTTGGAACCCCACTGCTCAAATTCTTTCTCTGCTACTCATCAGACGTGTGAGAACCTGGGAATGTCACTCGAAATCTCTGTGCAGTAGTCAGTTTATCTAGAAAATGGAGACTGCAACAGAGCCAAGGTTCTCGTCCTAACTAACATTGTTAGCACTCTCTATGTACCAGGCACCATATTAAGTGCTTTGCTTACATGACTTATTTCATCTTCATTCTAACTCCGTGATGTAGGTACAATGATCATTCTCATTTGATTTTGAGTTCACACTCAAATGAGTTCACACACATGATGAGTTCACACACATCATTTGAGTTCACAAATGAGGAAGCCAAAGGACAGAGAAGTTGGTGACCTGACCAAGGTCATACAACTAACTTGTGGTCAAGCCAGAATTCAAATCCATGTGTTCCTTTTCCCTCTCTGTCCACTCTCCACCCTTCACCCTGCTTTGTGCCCTGGAGGCTGACCTTAGGAACTGCATCAGTGGGCATCCTGGCCCTCTGGGTAGAAGTTGGGTTCCACCAGTGGTAGCACTGGCAGGAGATCTAAGGAAGGGCAGGAGGAACAGGGTCAGGGTCTAGTTCCCCACTGCCAGCAGCCTCTTCTATAGGCATAGGAACAGGCCTTGTTCCTTCAGGGGATGTTAACTTCCCTCATCCCTTCTCACCTTCAGGTAAGAAAGGCTGCCATTGTGCTTCACACCCCCTGTTGGTTTCCCATAACCCCTACCTCCAGCCTTTACAAATAATCCCCTCTCTAAACACTTTTTGGTTACTTCTTTTGAGGGGGCTGTTTCCTGCTGGGATCCTGACAAATATACTCACACAGCCTAGCTCTAAAGCTTGTGCTCAATGCATTGGACACAAAGCCAGGTATGTAATCTAATAATAACAGTATTACAAATAAGTGGATGTTAACTCAAGTTGGGTCCAGTCCCCAGAACATTTGTAGACAGCAAGAATGGCTGAAGATTTCAGGAGGTCCCAGGGCCTGAACTCACTGGCTCCCCGCTCTGCACAAACCTTATTTGGGCCAGCAATGGACCTCCTGGCTAACAGACCTTCCCTGATTTTAGGTAAAACTATGTTAATTACCGCCTACCAGTCTAATTTTCTATAGTACGCAACTGGATGTTTAACTCCATCAATACACATATATAGTTATATATAAATATACTGTATAATTTGGTCCATATAGTCTATAGATGTACTCAGGTACATAGACAATTTGTAATCTGATGCTCTTGCAGCCTCAAACTGCTTCAGGTCCCCATGCATTTTCACATGGGCTTTCTTCTCCTCTGTAAGCCTTTACACTATTTTGTAACTTGTCATATTCATCCATCAAAATTCAGATCAATGACACCTCTTCCAGAAAGCTTTATCAGCTCTCTACCTCTCCACTGAGTCACTCATTGCCTTCATGGGCTACCTTGTACATATTTCTTACAATTTATTTATTCACATGTCCATCTCCTCTACCACAAATGTTCCTTGAGGACAGACACGGGGTCTTATTCATTAGTGTATCCCCAGTACCTTGAATGGTGCCTCAATCACGGTAACTGCTCAATAACTGCTGAAAGAACGGCTGGCTAATGGTGTGAGATTGTCGGCTCATCATGGGCAGGGATGATTTATTATACCCACTTCTGTTGTACCTCTTAACATAATGCTAGACATTATGTTAGACCCTTAATATTTGCCTAATCACTATGTCTCAAACATTCTGCTTCAGGGGCCTGCTAAACCCCAGCTCTCTTCAGTATCTCAGCAACTGTGTAATGAAGAAAAATGTGAAGCACAGTATGAAATGGTGCTCTTTACTTCAGCACACCTGTATAATCTCTCTCTCGTAGCATAACAATTACTGAACTATTTGGTAATCTAAGATTCAGTGCCAGTTAAAGAACGATTCTTAGCCTAGGAGTATTAACGATCTTAAAATAAGCCTGTCCCTGAGTTCATGTAAGTTTGTGTGTCTGTACAATTTGTTGATAATGTGTACATTTGTTGAGGAATTCATAGTTTCCATCAGATCCTCAAAGGGTCTCATGACTTAACAAAGATTAAATACCACTTGTTTTGAAATTGTATAAGGCGTTAAGGAAGAATGTCTCCAGATATCATCAAATGGCCACCTAGAAGCTAATATAAGAAGATAAAACTTCCCAAATGATACATTTTTCCTTCACTGTCATACAGTAGAATCCTTTGAGTCTGAAAGGGAGACTTGGGAAGTACAACTAATTTTCTTGTTTGTGACCATGGTGGCCATGACAACGTGCCTTGCCAACCCATCACCACATTGGCACCAAGGCCTTGATTCCCATTGGATGCCCCAAGCCAGTGACAGAGCAAGGCCGGCAGGCTAAGGTAGGCCTGTTTTGGAGATCACAGACTCCTTCCACGGCCAACTTTGGACCCCTAATCACCTTGCTGAGCTTCCCTTTGACTGCTTAGTGGTCTATGGTACTCCCACCACTGTCCTTCCTTCTCTCCTTCATTCAGCGTCCGGCTTGTATTGAGGTCTGATGGCTCTCCCAGCCTTCTCTCTATCCTTCCCCATTTTTTCTCATAGGCAATTCCCCTAATAAAATCCTTATATATTTAATCCCCTCTTGGGCATCTTCTTCTCAGGGAACCACCATAATAATGTTGCCTAAGCTGCCACTCTGGCCATTACCATGTTGGACCTGCTGCCTCTGTGCTGTGTTTTACATAGGAAGCAAGAACTCTTAAACAGCATCCTTCTGTAATACACCCAGGCATTAGAGCAGCCTAACAAATCACAACTAGAAAGAAAACAAGTGTTATCACTCTTGGCACAGTGAAGGTGATACTAACCTTTGTCAGACACCTCTACTGTCAAGTTGTACTGCGGAGTGTCTCGCTTCCGCAAGGACTGCATGGCTAACTGAAACATTCCTGAGTAGGCTTGGACCAGGAAGAGTCCATCTCTAGGAACTTTGGGGGTTTGATCCACAATTCTGTATCCTAAAGCACTGTTGATAGTGTTTTCTTCATCCATGTCATGAGCAATAAGTGTTCCAATACTGTCCCCTGTAGAGAAGAAAAGAAGGAGACCCATCCATTATAGGCTCTTTTTACTCTATTAAAAAATTATTTCACTGAAGAATCAGGTTCCTAGAAAGCACTGGAAGTAACTTTGAGTAGGATACTAAAGTTCTTAGATCGATGTTGGTTCTTCTAACCCTTTCAGTAGTGCAGTGTGTGGAGAAGTGTCTTTGTCTGCTAGGGGCACCATAACAAAGTACCACAAACTGAATGGCTTTAACAACAGAAACTTATTTTCTCACAGTTTCTGGACACTAGATGTCTGAGATCAAGGTGTCAGCAGGGTTGATTTCTTCTGAGAGCTTTCTCCTTGGCTTGTAGATAGCTGTCTGGTGCATGTGTTTTCACATGGTCTTCCCCCGTACTTGTATCTGTCCAGATTTTTTCTTCTTAGAAGGACACCAGTCATATTGGCTTAAGACCCACACTAATGACATCATTTTAACTTAATTACCTCTTTAAAGACCCTATCTCTAAATAATAGTCACCCTTTAAGTTGCTGGAGGTTAGGACTTCACCATATGAATTTTAGGAGGACACAGTTCAGGATCTTGAGATGAACTCATCTTGGATTTACTTTTTTTTTTTTTTAATTTACTTTTGGCTATGTTGGGTCTTCTTGCTGTGCACAGGCTTTCTCTAGTTGTGGCAAGAGGGGGCTACTCTTTGCTGCAGTGTGTGGGCTTCTCATTGCGGTGGCTTCTCTTGTTGCAGAGTACAGGTTCTAGGCACACAGGCTTCAATAGTTATGGCACACAGGCTCAGTAGTTGTGGTTCGCAGGCTCTAGAGCACAAGCTCAGTAGTTGTGGCACGCGGCTTAATTGCTCCGCGACATGTGGGATCTCCCCGGACCAGGGATCGAACCTGTGTCCCCTGCATTGGCAGGCGGATTCTTAACCACTACACCACCAGGGAAGTCCCTCATCCTGGATTTGGAGTGCACCTTAAATCCAGTGATGGGTGTTCTTATAAGAGGAAGAGAAAACCCAGAGACGCCCACAGAGGAGGAGGCAATGTGAAGAGAGCGCAGAGACCGCAGCGATGCTGCCACAAGCAGCCAAGGAGCCACAAGGAGCCAGAAGAGGCAAGGAAGAATTCTCCCCTAGCTGGCACCTTGATTTCAGACTTCTAGTCTCCAGAACTCTCAGCAAATAAATTTCTGTTGTTTTAAGTCACCAAGTCCGTGGTAATTTGTTACGGCCACCCTCAGACACTAATACACAAGGCAAATGGTAAAACTAAACAAGGACAAGCCAACCGTGGTTACTTCTAAGTAACTTTCTGGAAAAATGGCAAAGACTGACTCCACCCCAAAGATAAAGACGGGCACGGGACGGAGAGCAGGGACCGTTTCTGCCTTGCTGCAGCTTATGGTCCTAAGTTTTATTTCTGTTGACGTCTCAGTCCAGGGAGTTCCAGAAGTTTGGCTCTGACTCAGTGCTCCACCCAGGTCTGGCTGAATTCTGATAGGTGCTGGGTCATCTTGCTCTGTGAAATGGGAATTGTGGGTTTCTCTACACACAGCCAGAATCCCATGTGAGGGCTAAAACTTGAATATGTATTCCCCACTTGTGGAGGTCAGTTTCAACCCCTCCCCCATGTTACTTTGCATCTACTGATTTATAGGGAGATTTGGAGGGTTTGTGAGGGGAGGAATGGAAGTACCTATGTTATGTCTATAATGGAGCTGGCACGTGCAGACGTGTCTCATGGGCTGGGGAGGCGGGGCAACATGGGGAGCAGAAGAGAACACATATCTAGTGTTCCAGCGCCTGCCATTTCTGCTTTCACAAACAACCGAGTCACCTTTGGAACATGCATCTGCCCTTGTAAGAAAAGCATCTGTGTGTTGGAATGAAAGAGGGCCTTGCTA